CAGACTTGCTTGTTAAAGCCAGAATGATAGATGCACACCCATGCTCTACACCAATGGTTGTTGGTACTAGACTAAGTAGTGACAATAGTGATCTGTTTGAGAATCCTACATTATATCGTTGATAATCCGTAAATTATACACTTTTCATTATACATTTTTGTCGGATTTCAGGTACTTTCTAGTGCATTTCTACCTGAATTGTTCCTTAATTCGTAACTTTTTATATTTTCAGGTTAAAATGGTCATTTTGAACAAATAAGAACAAAATTGGATATCTTTGACTCAGAATTTAGCGGATCTCAGAAGATAGGAGAGTTCCGGAGCAGGATAAAGCACGAGGAAGCTTGTTTCCGAGGAAGAGCACCGAGAATCGAAGAATCAAACGATGAAACAAGTGGAGTGGCAGTTCTGTAATTTCAGAACTGAGGAAGAAGCTTTGCCCCGGCGAAGAAAATGTCTTCGCTGCGGCGAAGTTGGCTAGGGACGAACTTATCTGACTCATTCTTCGCCGCGGCGACAGTCAATTTATTCAGTTTTGTTAAACGCACAGTTTCGTGTTGTGCGTGTTTTGGCTGGGTTTTTGGACTAAGTATAAAAGAAAAACTTAACCTTTTGCCAAGGGATCGGTAGCTGTTTAGGTTTAGCCGTTTTTACACTTTTCTTAGAGTAAAGCTTTGAGTTTTTCGGATTGCATAAGGGAGAAGGTTCAGATTTTGACTAGCAGATTCATCTTTTGGGGAGATTTCTTATCTTTCATCTCAGTTTCATTATGTTTAACTTGTTTATTTCTATTTTTAATTTTTGTAGTATTAGGGTTTTGATTGTAGTTTGGATTTTAAATGGGTTAAGTGTTTGATTGTGTTATTTCCATGTGAATAAGCTTTGGGTGTGTGTTACTCTAAAATTGAATGCTGTATGTGATGAACATGATGAGATTGAGAAATAATTCATGTTAGGCTTCTTGGGTAATCACCATTATAGTATTGGATGCTAGAGATAGATTCAAGAATTAATGAAATCAATTTAGGATTCTTGTGCTTAATGAATTTAGAATTATTAACCTTCAAATTGTTGGGTGCGGAATGTTAATAAGGATGAATAGGAAAACATAGCCCGAGAGGGCATGTTTAACATATTAGTGAATTCGATTTACAACCATTGCGTATGAATGTGAATATAGTGTAATTTTTAGGTTTAACCCATAAAAGTCCAAACGAAGTCAAAACCCTACCCGTTTTACTTGAATTGATATTCCGTGTTTTTATATTGCTTCTTAATTAAGTTTTCACCTTAGTAAATTTCATTTTGTTGTTTTTAAATTAAAACTTGCTCCCACCAATCCAAAGAATTCGATTACTTCAACTTGATAACGTTAGGAAACTTAGTGCTTTGCTAACAGTCCTCGTGGGAACGATATCCTACCGATCACTTTATTACTTGAGCGACTAGTGCACTTGCTAGTTTTGCATGTTGTAAGAAACACGCACCAATCGTAGCACAATTGGAGTCTTGCAGTACCTAACACTGACTAGACCAAATATTAGCTTCACAGTTAATTGTCTTAGTCCGTTTTTTCAAGCCCCAACTGAGTTACAATGGCAAGCCTGCAAGAGAGTTCTTAGATATGTTAAAGGGACACTACACTATGGGCTTTAGTTTAAACCAGCAAGTTCCCTGAATATTGAGTGCTATGCTGTTGCTGATTGGGGTAGTAATGTTGAAGATAGAAGATCTACTAGTAGGTATTGTGTCTATCTTGGACCTAATCTAATTCAGTGGAGCCCCAGGAAACAAAAAGTTGTTGCATTATCATCCACTGAAGCTGAATAGAGGGCTTTAGCACAAACTGCTACAAAGGTTGCATGGCTTCAAAGTATTTTCACTGAACTCAGCCTTCACTTGCACTCAAAACGTGTAATTTGGTGTGACAGTACAACTGTCAGAGCCTTAGCTTCAAATCCAGTCTTCCATGCAAGAACAAAGCATATAGAAATAGGTTCTCACTACATTAGGGAGCAAGTTCTTGCCAAGAATTTGACAGTTCAATATGTACCATCAAAATTGCAGATTGCAGATGTATTGACAAAGGCATTGTATGCTGTTCAAGTTGCTGAACTGAGATAGAAACTAAATGTGATTGTAGTTCCTTGTGCTACACACTGATTCTTAGTGGTTAATGATTGCTTACTGAGATCTTGGAAGTGTATCTGTTGATCAAAGGAAAATAATTTGCAAGTTGTAGTTTTATTGAACTTGAAAAATGTAGGTTGTAGTTTATGACAGATTAGTGTTGAAGAATTTGTGGGGTTGAAGAATTTATGGGGTTGAAGAATTTGTGATTGAACTTGTGGTGATTGAATTTGAAAATGCAGATTGTAGTTTTGACAGATGTGTTTTGAAGAATCTATGGCAGACTGTAGTTTTGACAAATTGTAGTTTTGACGGATGTGTGTTGAAGAAGTTGTGGCAGATTGTAGTATTGACAGATGTGTGTATTGTAGTTTTGACAAATGTGTCTTGAAACATTTGTGGTGCAGAGTGTTAAATTGAGATTTGTGATTGAACTTGACAATTCAGTTTGTAGTTTGTGTGAGACAGTTTATAGAATTGTGTTGAAGAATTTATGGTGCAGAGTTGTTAAATTGGAGAACTATGATTGAACTTCAAGTATTTAAGCTGAGAAATGGATTTGTAATTGAACTTCAGATGGTTGAGCTGAGAAATGTAGTTTGTAGATGTTAAGTTGTGAAGCTTGCTCTTGTTTGATTGTTATGTTTGGTTGTTGAGTTGGTGCTGATGCAGAGTTGATTAGCTGAAGTTGCAATTGAAAATGCATAACTGAAAATGAGGTGTTGTTTTGAGTTCTGGTTGTTGAGTTGATGCTGATGTAAAGTTGTTTAGCTAAAGTTTGATTAGCTGAAGTTGAAACTGAAAATGCAGAACTGAAAATGAGGTGTTGATTTGAGTTTTGGTTGTTGAGTTGGTGCTGATGTAAAGTTGATTAGTTGAAGTTGCAACTGAAAATATAGAACTAAAAATGAGTTGTTGCCTTGAGTAGCTGAGCAAGTTATGTCTTTTTTAGTAGTGGACTTACAACTTGAAAGTTTGATTATTTGAAGAAGTTGAGCGTCTGTTGACTGAAGGGATTAAAGGAGAATAGAGGTAGTAGAAAAAGGAAGAGAGTTTAGTTTCAGAGGGGATGTTGGTCAAAGAGCCAATGAATTTGAAAAGAAATGCTGGTAATGAAAGAAAGGCTACTAAAGCAGTAGAAGAAGAATGTCCAGTTTGAGAGGGGATGTTGGTCAAAGGACAAAAGTACAAAAAGTTCAAGTAGTAGGAGGAAAATGCAATTTTGCAAGACGGTGTCGTTTTTTATTATAATAAAATCAGTTGTTAAACTCACTTTACCTTTACTCTTCGTTTTTGTATAAAAGAGTAGAATGTTCTCTTCACTGTAGCTATTGAACTCAGTCCATTAGTAAAGAAATTCATTCACATTTTTTTCTCTGTTTTTGTTTGTTCGCAAACCCTAAGCTAATCTTACAACAAGTTTAAGGTGAAGAACTTTTGCTTAAAATAAAAAAAAACAAAACTAATGTTGAAATAATCAAGAGAGATGACTGAATCTAAAGAGAACAAATGATACTAAAAACCACCACCGAATTGTATTAAGATTTGATTACTGGATAAACTAAAAACCCTCAAGTTTCTCAATACATCAATAAAATATAATTAAAAAAAAAAAAAAAATTACTGCATTCTTAGGGCTGAAAAGAGCCTTTAAATAGTTCTCCCCTAAAATCCTAATTTGAAAAAACAAGGAAAAGTAAATAATACCAAAACATCCAGAAAATTTCAGGACACCCCTAAAAACATAGAAACATACAAAACCGCCTCTAAACGACTCTGAAAGACTAAAAAATGACCACCCTTATATTATGAGTTTTACTCGTTTGGGCGTTTTGGAGTGTGTTGTCGAAAATCATGCCATTCTGACACGTCGACACTATTCACCCTGTGGAGCCCGCATCAAAAACTGTACAAACTAGTCACCAATAAAATATATCTCAATTGAGTCTAGATGATTACAGAATGGACAATACCGCATCTAATTAGTTGAATAATATAGAACGGCGATAAGAAAAAATTACATCATCTTTAAAATAAGAAAAAGTCACAAAAGAAGCCGCTGTGAAGCAATTATCATTTTTTTGTTTTTTTTATAATGAAAACATCAAAATTCACTTTGTAAAATAAAATAAATAGAATAAACACAAATAGTTAATTAATCTCTTTTAAATTCGAAACTCAGCGATATTATACTTGACAGAAGATTACAGCTTTAGCAAACAAATATACAAAAACTCTATTCACTGAACCTGTTTTTTCTTGCATTACAATAGCTAATATATTTTATTATTTATGATTATAATTCATTTATAATTATATTTCATGCAGAAAAATTGACTGCTTCAAGATATAAATTTGTACAATAGTAAAACATGTAAAGGCAGGTGGGATGAAGGGCTTAAAATAAAATTAATTTTGTCAGAGATAGGAAAATTCTTCCATAATTAAACAATTGATTGCATGAAGAGATTGCTATATAAACCCTTTCATTCTTTGTTGATATTGTTGAAGATTAAAAGTTGCCAAAATAATGGAGAAGAGAAGCAGCTTAGTTTGAAGGGAAGTGTTGACCAAAGATTCATGGTGCTAACTGCAAGTTCTCAAAATGTGAGGACCTGACTAGAAGTTTCACACACGATGTCGTTTTACTTTACATGTAAAAGTCTTCTTCCTAAACGATCCTTCATAGTTTGTTAGCTGCTATTGCTTTACTCTTTTTCACTCTCACTTCACTTCGTTTCTTTCAAGTATAAAAGTAGCTACTTTTTTGTAACAAGTTTGTTAATCAATACAAAGAATCATTCAATTAAGAAGTTTATCTTTCTTTTCTTTCAACTTTCACATAGTATCAGAGCCCTAGACTCACGTCAATGGCTGATTTTTCTGGTGTTAATCTCTCTGCAAATAGCATGAATAAGCTCCAAAATTCCACTGATTCACACTCCTCGATCTTCTCTTCAAGCTTACAAGTGATTAATCCAAAGTTGACGCAAGACAACTATCAAGACGACTATCGATTTTGGCAATCACATGCTCTCTCTACTGTTGGAGCTTATAAGCTGGAAGAACACCTCACAGGTTTAATTCCTTGTCCTCAACCTCTAATTTCATCAAAAATTGATGATTCCTTTGAAATGGAAGGTGTTCTGTCAAAAAATAACCTAACTAGAAGAAAAGTTAATCCGGCATATATCGTTTGGAAATGAGCTAACAAGTTTCTAGTCACTTAGTTACTTGCTTCAATCTCTGAATGCATGTTTAGTTTCATATCAAAGTGTCAGCTCTCTTCTGAGATTTGGTTTGCTCTTGAGCATGAATTCCTAAGTGATTCTAAAGCCAAAGCCTTACATTTGAAAAACTTATTACAAACTACACAAAAAGGCAATTTGAGCATTAGTGAGTATGTCAAGAAGATGAAAAGTAAAAGTATAGCCGAAAGTTTGTCTGTTAGTGGTCTAGTTATCACTAATGAAGATGTTTTGCAGTATGTGTTACACGGTTTAGGACTGGAGTTTGATGCAGTAGTGGTTAACTTGACCTCACAGCGAGAATCCAAGTTTGATATAGTGACACTTCAAGAAGCACAGTTCTTATTACAGAAGTATGAGCTGAGGTTAGAAAAGTTTAATTTTATTGATCTTTCAACTAGTTCTATTCATGTTGCTGCTGTGAGTAATGCTGGTTTTAAGCCATCCCTTATCAACACTAATAATCCTTCAAATGATCCTGTAAACCCTTCCAGTTCCTCATCTCAATTTCCTCCATCATTTGCACAACGTTGTCCTTTACTTGCTCTAATTCCCTCTGTCCATTATGGTCAATTTTTTCACTCAGCCCCTTCTAATCCTTATGGTGCTTCAACTATTTCCTATCAACCTACTAGATTTATGAATTCTAGATGAGGAAGAGGTAGAGGAAACGGTAGGGGTAGGCCAATTCATCAACTATGTAGCAAAATTGGGCACACTGCTGTGCAATGTTATCATCGGTACAATTCCAACTACAATGGTGCCCCTCCTTAGTTCAACTCAAATAATCACTCCATAGGTGTTGTAAGTGGTGCATCTCCACAATTCAACTCTTCTAATCACTTAATTGGGAATGGATCTTTCAATTCCAATAAGCAACACAATGGACTCTTTACCAATCCAAACAATCAAACAAGCCAGATCTCTTCACAGTCGTTACAGCCTGGATTTGTCTCCTTTAATACAACACAATCACATGGCAACTATATTGGCCTTAATCACCAGCAACAACATTTTGCCTCACAACCACAAAATTTCACAGTTCCAAGCCAACAGATAACAACACCAACTCAAGCCTACTTTGCCTCTCAACAACCTTCACCACTTAACTCACAACCTTCATCCTATCTACCTGTTGCATCAATTGCCTCCAAAACTCCTCAAGATCCTGCATGTTATATGGACTCCGGAGCTCCGGATCACGTCACTTATAACCTCAATCAGTTGACTGTTAGCAAAAACTATGGCGGAGCTGATCAGCTACAAGTACGTAGTGGTGAGTTTCTTGACATCTCACATATTGGTTTTACTTCTTTACCTAGCTCTTTACAATCTAAATGTTTACATTTAAAAAACGTTTTGTGTGTACCTAGAATCACTAAAAATCTCCTTAGTATATCTATGTTCACTAAGGATAACAATGCTGTTGTAAAATTTAACTCTGATTGTTGTATTGTTAAGGACAAACTTTCGAGGGCAGTGTTACTGCAAGGAGAACTTAATGTTGGACTCTATCAGTTGAGACTTCCCTCTATCAGTCCTCTACCTTCCTTTGATACCTCTATTGCACCTCTTAAATTTCAGAGCTTTGTCTCATCAATTGAACCTACCAAAGTTACTCCCATTGAACCTGAGTCTGCTGTTAAAAATAAGTTTGTTGTTGATAATGAGTCTATAGGAAGCTGTGTTAAAACCTCAAGTTTTGTTACTTGTAATAATCTTGTGTCCAACCTTAAGAATAAGTCCACATACTGTTTAAAAATAGCAGTACTAAAAATAATAGTAATAAAATGGCCAGTGAATCTGTTTTGAACAATTGTAATTCTGTTTCTTTCAATAAAGCTGGTTCTACTTTGACACATTGTGCTAGTATTGGACATATCTGATGCATCAGCATGCACTGTTAATGCTCCATTACATACCACCTTGAGTAATTGTTCCCATGTGTCTGATGTTGCTAAAGCTAATTGTTCTACTATATTTTATAATGATTCTGATATGTCTAATGCATCAGCATGCACTGTTAATGCTTCATTACATACTACCTCTGGTAATTGTGCCTATGTGTCTGATGTTGCTAAAGCTAATTGTTTTGCCATATTTAATAATAATTATGATATGACTATTGAATCAGCATTCACTGTCAATACTCCATTACATACTACCTCTGTTAATTGGTCTCATGTGTCTGATATTGCAACTTCATTAAATACAAACCATGTTGACATACACAGAAATCATTTGTCTGATGTAGATGCATCTATTTATACTACTCCCAACTCTAAGTCCAGCATCACTGACTGCCCATCCTTAGCCTGGCAAGCTGTTAGCCACAAAGAAACTACTTCCTCACTTTGGCACAATCGTCTAGGTCATCCACACTCAATAGCTTTTAATAAAATCATGCGTCAAGTGCACTCAGATTCATCACAAACTATTCCAGCTCTATCCTTTTGTGATGCCTGCCAACTTGGTAAAGTGCATAGAAACCATTTTCCCATCTCTAATTCTAGAGCCACTAAACCATTAGAATTGATTCATTGTGATATATGGGGTCCTGCTCTAATCGCATCTCTAGAAGGGTTCAAATACTATGTCCATTTTCTAGATGATTATAGCCAATTTACATGGTTATTTCCCTTAAGAACCAAGGTTGAAGTGCAATCTGTTTTTATCAAATTTCATCACTTAGCCGAGAGACAATTCCAACATAAAATACATTGCTTACAATCTAATCAAAAGGGGTGAGTATAGAGGTTTAGTGCCTTACTTAACAAAATCAGGAATCCAGTTTAGGTACTCGTGTGCTCATGTGCATCAACAAAATGGACGTGGTGAAAGAAAGCATAGACAGGTCTATCCTTGCTAACACATGCATCCATGCCTATGTATCTCTGGTGGTTTGCTTTTGACACTGTTGCATTTCTAATAAGTAGAATGCCTACTGCTATTTTGGATTTCATTTCGCCTTAACAGTTGCTATTTGATAGACCACCCTTATACAATTCTTTAAAGGTCTTTGGGTGTGCTTGTTTTCCTCATTTGAGAGATTATAATCAACGTAAACTTAGGTTTCACTCTTCAAAATGTGTGTTTGTAGGATACAACCTAATTCACAAAGGTTATAGGTGTCTAAGTGCCGAAGGAAAAATTTACATCACTCTTAATGTTAAATTTCATGAAATAGAGTTTACTTTTAAATCTGGTTTTGGTCAGCCTAATAATTTAGCTCCCAGAGAATCATATTTCAATGAGTCACACACTAGCTTTCCCTATTCTAAAGTTCAAGCACCAGTTGTGTCCAGTAAAAAGGTCTCTCCAACAGAACCGAGCTCTCAAGTTAGTCTTCCTTCAACAATTGGAGTATCGAATTCTACCTCACCATTACCATCCTATAAGTCCACTCATTCTATTTCACCATTACCATCCTATAAGTCTGCCCTTGCTCCTAAAAATATGTCCAATTCAACTACTAATTCCTCTCTAAATCTTTCAAACTCAATACCTAGTTTATCAAATCCAGTATCTAATTCCCAAAATTCCACATCTGAACTAATACCTCCTCCCTATAAGAAACCTGATGCCAAATCCTCAAACCATACACTTGAAATCAATCTAACCTCTTATCCACCTCTTAATCCTTCTGTTCCTTCTCAATCATCTTTTGCTCGAGATCTTACTCACTGCCCTCTTGTAGTTGACTTAGCACCCTCACAATTTCTCACTACATCAACTGATCAGCCTCCAAGTATTAACACACATCCCAATGTTAACAAGGTCTAAAACCAACTCTTCAGTTACCCTTAACCATTCAGGCAAAACTGCACTTATTTTATCTGGCAACACACATGTCCTCCCTGAACCCTATTCTGTGAAAGATGCATGATGGGAATGCAAAATGTCATATTTACCCCCCTTAATGTTTAGTCTTTTATACGTATTTATTGCTTAAATGTACTCATTATTATTCTATTTTGATTTAGGATGCAAATGGAGGCGTTAATTGTAAAACGGAACTAATTAAGTGAATTCGGACAGTTTCAACGTTGTTTCGTAATCTGGGCATAGCTCTCTCATCCGAGCTCCGATTGAGATGATTAAAAATGCTGTGGAATGATAAGAAATTTATCTACAACTTTCATGTTTTGAGTTTAGATAGATACTCACTGAATCAAGGTTGGAATCGAGCTTGAAATTGACGCATCTACACTGGACGTCCTGGAGCATTCTGCCTTGTCATGCAAATCAATTGAGCAGTTTATTATTGGAAGATTTGAGGACATGTAGCACGCAAGTTACAGCTCAGAATCACCACTTTCCTATTTTATTTTAGGACTCTATCTTATTTTAAATTAATTAGAATTAAATTAGGATTAATGTTATTTTAGGATATTAGAATATTTCTTTTAGGAGATTGAGTGGGATTCAAATTCTTGAACTGGATTTTGGCTAAAGAGATCAGATTAGGTTTTGGGGAAAGGGGGACCACGCCTCTCTCTCTTCTCTTCTCTGGAATTTTTCTTTCTTTTTGAGTTTTGGGATTATGGCCATGAGCAGCTAAAGCTTTTGTAACTTGGTCGTCGGAAACGGAGACCTCGGAATCAACCAACTGTGAGATCTAATCTATTTTATTTTAATGTTCAATTTTTGTGTTTGAGTATTGAATGTTAGTCTGTGCATATCTTCATGATTGATGCAATTAATTACTAGGAGGCCTACTAGTGTATTATTTGTTGCAATCTACTGCTGAGTTTGATATCAAATCCGTAATTGTTTGATCCCTCTAACTTGTGAAGCAATTAGGGTTAATAATTTGCTGCGTCAGGAATTAGTAATCTTAAGAGGAACATTCAACTAAATTAAATACAACCGCTTGTGTTTGTGTTGTTTAGCTTCATCGATTTCTCTAATTCTTAAGGCTGCCATTAGATTAAATCTTGAGCGCTTGTCTAGGGTTGTTTAGTGGTAAGATTAATTAAGATCGCTTGTTTCTTAATTAATTACAATTAAGGAGAGATAGGAAAATAGTTCCAACGGTGAATATTCAGGTATGAATTGATTTAATTTTGCATCAATGATCAGTTGTAAGATTCCGATGGTGGATGTTGACGGAGACCAAGTTTCGTTATATTAATTGATTTCGATTTGAATTGTTTTTGTTTTGATTTTTGCTAAGATAGTTTTCTATTTTACTCAAAACCCCCCAGCCTTTTTCACATCATCAAAAATTTGGCTAGACACTCTTCGTGGGATCGACCCTTGCTTACCCTATTTACAGTTCAGTAGTTAGGTTAGGAAGGTTTTTAATCTTGGTTGCCTACGACAGCACACCAATGCATTAGCCACTACTGAGTGGAAAGAAGCCATGCAGTTGGAATTTGATGCCTTAATGAAAAATATCACCTGGATTTTGGTACCAAGAACCAGTGACATGCATGTAGTTGGGAATAAATGGGTATCTCAAACCAAGTTTCATGCTGATGGTTCTTTGCAAAAATACAAGGCTAGATTGGTTGCTAAAGGGTTCCAACAAACACCTGGGTTGGACTATTTTGAAACATTTAGTCCTGTAGTTAAACCTTCCACCATTAGGATCATTCTCACACTTGTTGTAACCAATGGTTGGGACATCCAACAAGTGGATGTAAATAATGCATTTCTTAATGGTACTTTGAATGAGGTTGTCTACATGCAACAACCTGATGGATTTGAAAACTCAGCTGTTCCCTCTTATGTTTACAAATTAAACAATGCTCTTTATAGTCTAAAACAGGCCCTTAGAGCCTGGTTTAACACGCTCAAGTTTGCACTTATTGCTAAAGGGTTTTAAAATTCTATCTCTGATTCATGTTTGTTCATTTGCAAAATTTTTGATCATGTTATATATATTCTTATATATGTAAATGACATTTTGATTATTGGATCCAACTCTTCATCCATACATCAGCTTGTTCAAGAATTGAATGATCAATTTGCCTTAAAGACCCTTGGTTCTATCAAATATTTTTTGGGGTTAGAAGCTACAAGAACACCTGTTGGTATTCACTTAAAACAGACTAAGTGCATTGTTGATTTACTTATCAAGACACAAATGCTGGATTCTCATGCATGTTCTACCCCGATGGCTGTTGGTACAAAACTCTACTTTCAAGATAGTCTTTTATTCAAAGACCCTAGTCTTTATAGGAGTACCATAGGAGATCTCCAATACCTTACCCTTACTAGACCTGATATAAGCTTTGTAGTAAATAAACTAAGTCAGTACCTTCAAGCTCCTACTGAGCTCCAATGGCAGGCTTGCAAAAGGGTTTTAAGGTATATAAAAGGCACTCAATATTATGGACTACAGTTCAAACCAACAGCATCTCTCAGCATTGAATTTTATGCTAATGCTGATTGAGGTAGTAGTTTGGATGACAAAAGGTCGACAAGTGGGTATTGTGTGTTCTTTGGTCCTAATCTAATCCAATGGAGCTCAAGAAAACAGAAGGTGGTTGCCCTTTCATCAACCGAAGCTGAGTATAGACCGTTAGCTAACACAACCACTAAAATTGCATGGCTGCAGAGCATGTTTTCAGAGTTAGGATTGAACCTGAAAACTCCTCATGTTATTTGGTGCGACAAAGTGAGTGATGGTGCTCTTGCCGCAAATCCCATTTTCCATGCATGGACCAAACATATTGAAATTGATGTTCACTACATCAGGGATCAAGTTTTTACAAAGAAAATTGCAGTTCAGTATGTATGATGCGTGCTTACTACAACATGCAAAAATAGCGAGTGCACTAGTCGCACAAAGTAATAAAGTGATGAGTGAGTATCGCTCCCACGAGCATAATGTTACTAAGTACTGATTTCTCTAGTTTAAGTCCTAATTGAAGCAACAATAAAATGGATTGATGGAAAATTAACAACTAAATACAAATTAACCAAATATGAATGAATGATAATGAAATTAAAGCAAAACCCAACAACTTAACTAATTAAACAATGCTAAAAAAAATACTAGGGTGTTGATTTCACCTAGATACGCTAACCCAAATCATAGAATCTATTACCCAAGTTCTAATTCCTTGATTGAAAATCGAATTCCCTAAGTTGTAAAACATACCTTCTCAGGCTACATTTCCCTACTTATCCTTATCAAGCTTACACAACCAACAAAATGAAGATTAATAGTCAAAGTCTTTTAAGCTTTATGGAATTCTAATCTAGATTAAGATCGGCTAAACCTATCTCTAGCGTTGCTAATCTACGGTATTATCCCGAGAGGCACAAATCACAAATCACTCCAGTTCTCATTGTGAACAACACACATTTGAAAGGTGATCAAGCATCAAAAGTCATTAACCAAAGAGATAAACACTCAATCATGAAATTAAAACTCAAAGTAAATCAGTTCATATAAATTTGAATCATTGTATCAAGGTTACATCAAAACCCTAGCTAACAACTCAGTTCATACTCAAAAATGAAATAAATAACAAAAACAAACTGAATCAGATTTATCATTGAAAAACAAGCAAAAGATGAGACTCTTCTCTAATTTGAAGCCCAAATCTTCAATAATCTTTCTCTCCATGAGCTGCCTCCCAAATGACGAACCAAGACCCTTTTTCTCTCCTTTTTGCTCTAATTATACCTCTTTCACTTAAGGACCAAGCCCTAGCAAGCCAAAACGCGTCGTTTATTTTTTACAGTTGATGCAGGTTTCGCCGCGGCGAAGAATTTCGGGCCAAATTTGAGCCTGATAGAGTCGAATCTGGAATATTGTTTTATGAATGTAGCCCTTTCAATTATTCTTTTGGTAGTTCAAGAATCAGCACAATCGAGGTCTATAGCTCAAGTTATGGCAGAAATAATGAAGCACATCCAAGACGTTTTTTCTTCAGTTCCCAGCGTACTTTTCACGAATTCAAGCCAAGTTTTCACCCTGTCCAGTCAGAATAGGAAAAACCCAAAACTGAAAGTGTAGCTCTTCTGCTTAGCTTTCCAAAGTTTCTAATTCAGGTCATTCCGAGTTTCCAAGCTTCAAGTTACACAATTTACGCTCAAAACTGCCATTTATACTAAAAATCATCGTTTAGGCCTGCAAAGACAAATAATAGAATTAGGTAGCAATTATGGCCCAAATTGTATGAAAAGTATCCTAAATCCTATCAAATTCAATGCAAAATCATAGTGTAAAATATGATATTCAAATACCCCAAACTTAAGATTTGCTCTTTCCTCGAGCATAAAGAATAAAAACCAAAGAAAGAAAGCAAACAACAAACCAAAAAACACAAAACACACAAACTGAAAATGAACAAATAAAAAATTAGACTCAAACTCAACACGAGAATTGCCTAGAATTTATGCAAGTCTCTAAGGTTGTTGAAAATTTATTACTAGAAAAGTTCAACACTCCAAGAAGTTTAAGTTGCACGACTATCTTTCTCTATTAGTCCCCGAGTAGGTGATCCCACTTCAGTCCACATTCCAACTTCCCAGATTATTTTATGCGAAAATGTAAAGTTTATCAAATGGTGGCAGACTCCATAAGCCTAAGTATGGAAACTACTCTACTATGTAGAAGAGACATCACTAAGGATCAAAAGGTCTTTGCAAGCTTGTAACGTTAGGCTCGGGAAATGGGTTCCAAGAAAAAAGATAGGAAATACAAAGTAAGAGAACTCGGTTTTCCTCATGAAACACTCAAATCAAAAATCCAACTCATCACTCAACCACCAATCAACGTGTCCACTAATTACAACCCTCAAACTTGTATCTTTTTTTTTTTTTTTTGATACCAAATATGCGCCGCCGGGAAGTGAGTTCAAGGGTGACATGGCGTTATTAAACCAGAGATCACCAGTAATGCTAGGTAGTTTTTAAGGCGGTTACTGATTTCCAGCCGAGATACCTAAACTTGGCAAAAGAATTGTTTTTTTTTTTTTTTTTTTTTTTTTTTTTTTTTTTTTTTTTTTTTTTTTAAAGTAAAAACAATCAATTGAATTGAGGTGAACTACCTCTTTATTTTTATTGCCCTTTCACAAACCCTAAAACTATTCTTTTAGTTGATTCGTACAACTCTTCCCCTTCTGTGTTTGCATTAGGATCGAATTCTCCTAAGGGTACGACAGAGGTTTAGGGTATAAGGATTGACAATTTTTGGTTAGCCAAGAAAAATAAAGCAATAATGATCAAAACGGGTCAATGGGGACTAGGGACAATTTCATTCATAGGTGGCTAGAAAAGACTCAAACGTTCCAAAAAGAATGCCAAATATCTCCTCAACCATGTCTAATCCTAGAATTTGTCTCAAGCACTTCTAACTAGGTTCTAGAGTCCACCAATTATCAAACTTACCTAACCACATAAAATGAATCTAGCATGCCGAAATAAATGAAAATGGTGGTTGAACACTCAACAAAACTTCAATAAAATTCAGTCAATAAAACATAAACTTGAAGCAATGCTTAACATTTTTCCAAAAAAATCACCACAATTCTAGTCATCCTAGACTTAGCAATTCATCTAGGCAACAACAACACAACCACAAAAACAAAACACACTAAACATTTAACAATCAAAGAACTTAAAACAAAAGAAAAACACACAAACAAACTAAAACACACAAATTCTCAAAATTTTCCTACCCCGAACTTAAAAGACATTGTCCCCAATGTCACATCATGCACATCCAAGGAATAGAAAAAAAACAAAAGTAAAGGTTACGGATACTCCCCTGATTAATCTAAAAAGGCTGATCTTGTGCTAAATCCTGGCATCCATTCCTTGGCTTTCTCATCCTCATTATGTGTCAAACAATTGAAAGTCTATGGTGCCAAATGGTGTTGATCACCTCACGATTAATATGAAAGAAATTACCCTAATCTCAACCTATTGAACTAAACCAAAATCTAAACAAAAAACAAATAAAGAGCTAAAAAAACAGGAAATCAACATCAATTCCTACTTACAAAACATAAAGAAATAAAAGCAAAAACTAAAAAGAAAAGTGGTTCAAGCTTCAATCTTCTTCTACTTCTTCCTCTTCACACAACTCCCAAATTTGCTAAAAGCACTTCAACACAACAAACCCGACTCCTCAACACCAAATATAAATCAAAATCAACAATTTCTACAATCCACCAATCAACTCAATCTTCAAGTTCTCAACAACATCCACAATCAACAAATTCAAGCAATTTTTCAACAAAAACAAATCCACAATTGAAAGTGAACAAAATAAATTGAATAAAAACTCTTAACCTTACCAAGCCCAAGCTTTCCAACCTTCAATACTTCCATTCATTAAAAATCACAGAGAAAGCTCCAAATTTTCAAAACCTAGGGGGTGCTAAAAATTTCTTCAAAATGGGTTAAATACGGGGCAATTGAAGGTGCATGATTGTTTAAAGAGGTAAGGGAGTGGAATGGTGCAAGAAATTTGAGGGAAAAAGGTGAGAAATTGAAAGAAGAGAAAATGAAATTCTTGGAGGCTAGGGTTGAAATCGCAAAAAATGGAGAGAATGAAGGTGGGTTAAAAAAAATCTCAGGTTTTCCGCGACGAAGTTCTTCGTTCAACATAAATAAAACCCAGGTTTCGCCGTGGCGAAGACAAATTCTTCGCCGAGCCGAAAAAATACAGAAGCTGTATCATTTTTAAGTTACTTCGCCCGGCGAAGCGCGGCGAAGTCTGGGACTTTTTAACTTCATTTTCATATGACGTGCTTCGCCGGGAGAAGAACTTCTCGCCCGGCAAAGTCTGAGCATTTTCTTTCCTTTTCCTTAGCTTTAAACTTCACCTGAAACACCCAAAAACACAAAATTAAAAAAAAAAAT